GTGTGTGTGTGTGTGTGTGTGTGTGTGTGTGTGTGTGTGTGTGTGTGCGTGTGTGTGTATGTGTGTGTGTGCTTGTGTTTGAGTGTAGCATATTGCAAACAATTTTTCCAGCATAAAATCCACAAGAAAACTGCTCCCATGGTTGTTTTCTTGTAATCCTGCATTCAGCTTTTATTCACTCCTCACCTGATGCTTCAACCTAACACAACACCCCATTTCACACTATTTTCTGGCACCTTGTCATTTGCAACCTGGATGAGTGGGATTTGTAGTTCTTCAAGAGGAACTTTTTTGTGCCACACAGTGTGCTTTTAAGATATGACTTTTAATGGGCTTTAGACATCCAGTGACATCCAGTGACATCCACTGCATCCAGTGGTTTGTTTTTTAATGCTGCAGAATTACAGCAAGAGTAGCGGTGAGACTTAGATGCCACCGGTCAGCAGACTGTTGCTTTCTGACTTCTGTGGTTGATGCATTGTATGTCTTCCAGGCTACAGTTAGATTTGATGATGCAGAGTAAATACTAATTAGCAAGCATGGTCACACAACATTTTTTTTTTCTAAGTGAGGATAGGTTTTATGTACTTTACAGTGTACATAAACAGGTTATTTGAGAGGCTAACTATATTCTATAGAAATTATAGAGGTTTCCTCTGTCCGTCATTTTCATCAGTTTCATAATTTTGCTGTCCAACGCAGTTAAAGTTCTTTTCACATAATATATATATTTTTTTTTTTTGCTGAACTTAAGGTGCAATAGATTTTTGCCGCCACTCAGCTGCTCCGTCATGCAGACTAAGTGATAAAAACAGTACAATTACATTCTCAGTCAGTGTAATTTTTTTTAATTCTCACTGTTTGTGAGGGGGCTGCAAATGGGAAATAATTAGTCTTATTTGCCGTAAAAGAGGATATAATGCTGGGATGATTTAATATGCAGTGTGTATTTAAATGATGTATGTCGATAGCATTTTATTTCCCATATGACGCATAGACCTAGTGGAGCATTAGTGTTCATTTTGAATTGTATTTTACTTTGGTGTAATTCTATCGACACGTATTGTATTAGGTAGCGTTACAGCTCATTTGTGTAGTTATTTAAAAAGTCTAAAACTTTTTCACTTTTTATCACTTAATTTCGATTGTAACTGCATATACAGATAATCGATGTTTGTACGTGTTTTAAAGCGAATAATATCAAAAAGCTATTTAGATTCAAACTATTTTTGTATTATTTTAACATTTTAGTTGCACAGCTTATTAAATAAATAAATGTTTATCGTGTTAAATGTGCCTTTCTTTTGTCAGAAAGTTTGCATGTCGTGACTGAACAGAGCAGAACAGCTGAACTTAAACCCATTATAAAGAAGGCCGATTTTTTTCAGACCGATGGTGTAATTTAACATGCATATTTCTTGATCTTTCTATTTTATATTTTGTCGCTATAGAGGATGCAACTCGGTGTGTTATTACACTTCCAAATGAAGCCATTTCACGTTTTTTTAAACGCAATACAATAATTGACACAATACAACATGTTTATGGCCAGAAATAGTTTTTACCAAACATTTCATAAATTGACCAAGACACTATTACACCTCTCTAAATGTGTCCCCTTGTTTTCTTTAGTAGACACAGTTATGATATGAATTTCCTTTTTTGCTTATATTGTCTTTTGTCCAGCTGTTCTGTTTTTTTGTGTGTGTTTTATTTAGATTTTATTTGTGTGACGCACCGTGAACGTCTCCTGTTAGAGGCTGTAAGTTAATTATAGTGTGACGCTTTCATGCTGCACCTCTACGTCCACGTCATCTGTTTATGAGGGTTGCCTTTAACTCTTTAAAATGATCAAAACGTTGCGTTTTGGGTTGTTGAACCTTTTACTTGCTCATTAGGCCTTCAATCAATTCCCGTAGTCCTTTTCTCTTCAATTATGAGTTTCTAATTGTATTATAATTATATTTTTTATTCTCTTCACAGTTTCTTTTATTGAAGCCAGTGAGCAGGACTTTTTTTGTATTTGGCACTTCCAACTAAACCTCGTGCAGTTTTCATGCCAATTAGAGTACATGGCTAAAACGGAACCATGAAAACATCTGTAGCTTTACAGCGTATCGATGTTCAACCTCTGGACTATATAGACTTATAATAAAAACGTATTATTGAAAATCAATTTGGATTCATCGTAAGATGTTGTAAACTTTTTAGAAAATATTTCAACTTTTATATTGACTTTTCAGCGCCAGACAAAGGTTTTAGCTCGTGACAAGTGAGCTTAATTTCTCGTTATAACTCTATTGACAAAAACTGTATGTCCTTTTTTAATTGTTGGTGTGACAGCTAATTTTTTCTTTCGCTCCTTTTTTGTCTCTTTCATATAAATGCAGTTTTTCCATTGCTCTATCTGTACTGAATAAATTACCAAAACATGAGGTTTATCTTGGCAATTATCATACAATGACGCTGAAATGTAACATACATTGTTGATCTAATCTTGGGTCAATTTGTTGGCTTATTCTCGTCACTCTCAAAACGTAGTTAGTGCAATAGGAGCAGTTTTGCAAAGCCCACGTTAATTGTGTTGATACAGTAATAGAGAAGCATGCCATTAGGAAGTCATTCAGTTGCTAGTGCGCAGCTGCGTGTGAGTGTACATAAAAGAGAGAAAAGGAAAGTTTCCCTATACCTTACAAACTCAGCAAAACATTTAAAACTTTGTAAAACGTTACATGAGACTGATATCAGGGCCTCTAACTTCATTTTCATTCAGCCCCTTCAGTTAATGTGTTTTTGGCAAGAGGTTTCAACATATGTCATAGATTAAAACTTCAGAGGGAATTGTCCAGATATCCAAATTTGAGAAACTGTATGCAGTATTTCTAATTGTTGTGTTAAAATGTTCTTATACCTTTTCCAATAGCATGTTGTTGGACAAAAGCTACGACACATTTATAGGTTGCAGCCTCAGTATCTTAAAGATACTCAATAATACATTTAAATGTCTTCAAATAATATTTAAACAAAAAAATGCTTTACCCCTGCTTTCAACACCAGGCTCACATATGCAACTGATCTATCATTAATCTGCGTTTCAGTCATAAAAGTCTCAAGAAGTGTGTTGCTATTGACAGCCCGCTGATGGACAAACATCCACCTCATGCGGCGTCTCTACATCAGACGGAATCATTGGGAAATTGACTCTTTGGACACATTTTACGCGCACACTGCAAGAAATGTCAACTTCAGCAAGTCGTATGTTGTCATACTGCTCCTGTCTTTCTCTAAAATCAAATATGCTGCTTATTGGCTGTGGTGTTGTTTCCAGAGAGACATAGGCTCCATACATTCAAATTACAGTTCAAGAACAACACAAATAAATTTGGGAAGGTAAAATTTCTACCAAGGCTGATGTCCTGTTCTACTTTTTGTTGAAATGTGACTATTTTTTGCAGAGCATGCATGGTTTAGTATCTCTTGGCACATGTCATCATAACGTCAGCTAAATACATATCTGATGGCGTGTCATGACTGTCAATGTAAACATGGCTCCATATGTTTTGTTGTGATCTTTGCATGTTGGAACTCCCGTGAAACGGTCTGCGGTGTGCAGACTAAGCCTATGTGAAGCCACAGGCCTAAACATAACACCGACTTACCCATGCGTGTGTGTGTTTTTTCCTGTAGAGACAAATATATCCAATTCCAATCTGCGTCTTCACTTTCTCTCGTGGAGGCTTTTCTGTGCGGGGAAATGCCACAAGTGTTATTCATAACATTCAGAGACAAACTACTTGAGTTGATTGGTATTGTCAGTTACACACACCGATAGAATTACAGGGGAAACATATGGCTGATTAATTAATTAATCGTAATTATTAATTCGGCCATAAACGGCGACAACTTGTTGACCTACAATACCTAACGATGCATCTGTCAAATTTAGATATGCTTAATAAACCACATCGTCTGGAGGCATTGACTAAAGAAGAGGAGGTTGCGCGTAATGGCGCATGAGGAGCAAATACCAAATGGATTCCTATACCAGACTGGGATTATGTAGAGGTTTAGTATAGAGACTGGGGTGAGGGTCCGGGAGGAATTATAATTTGGTGCATAAACCAATGCTATTCCTGCGCAGACGGCTCCCCCATCAGCGTCCACCCCCCTTGAACTACGTCTCGGACTCCGCTTCCGCTTCGCACGGTTGGTCAGTGATGCGAAGTGGAGGGTTGGAGAGGGAGCGCGCACGAGAGAGAAAGAGAGAGAGGGAGCGGGGGGGGGGGGGGACGTAGAATTGACAAGGCAGAGACTGGGAGAGAGAGAGAAGGGGAGAAGGAGGTGACGGACCTGCTCCTCTGGGACTCGGCTACAGCTTTACTGCTAGGTGCTACCACCGGGCTCGACTCACTAAACGGTCCTCAGCTGTAAAATGCACAATTAGGCGCCGAGCAGCCGCCTTGTTAGCTGTCACAGAGCGCCGCGAGGATCTCCACGGTCACGGCTCCACTTGTCGGAAATCTGGACTAACTGTGAGAGGAGGGGGAGAAAAAAAAGAAGGATTCATGAAGATTCTGTGCAGCTTTATCGAGCAGAACGCCTGGATTATCTGATTTGGGACGGAGCGTTGAAACATTGCAAAGACGAAGACTGTTTCTCTGTTGTGCCACCACCGTGTCCAACCGTAGCCTGCGACGTGTTTTGTTTTTTAGGTAAGCTGATCCCGCTCCGATCCGGCTACGTATGTGCACTGTTGTTGCGTAGAATATTCTGCTCTGCGTTGCAGGAATCGCGTCTCTCTGCAGAAGTGACACCGTCTGAGTGTATAGAGGATTGTTTTGGGGGAGGCTCGGTTGTGTTCCGGACACCGCTATGTCGCGATACGACAATAACGCGCAAGTCTTTTGTTTGAGGAACATGAAAAGGAAATAGTGTTTCCTAAAAGAGAGGGGGGTCCTGGGGCTACTTCAATGTGCAGCCTTATTCTCCCAAAATAAGTCAGCCGTCACACGTTTAATGTAAGGAATAATATTGATTGTGGACTTTCCTTTTATTCAAATGATATCTTTAATTGCCCAAATGATTTGTGACAAGCATCTTGACTTGAACTTCCGAACCTGAAGCTTATTTAAAAATGCAATAAAGGTTCAATTACCTTGCTTTTACTCTGAGTTATCTTCAGTTCAGCTTTAAGTCAAGTTGATATGTTAATGTCTTGTGTTGTCCTTCCTTTTAACTCTATGTTGGTTTTTAATGATGTAGTTATTAGCTGTGTAGCACACGGCACTTTCGAAAATTACTAACTTTGTGGTCACATACAAAGAACAAAATCCAGTTTATAAGTGTCTGTCTGTGAATATAAACGTATTTATATCACTCTAACAACGTCAACAATGAGATCCCGTTCCCACATACTGACAGCTCTGTTTGGGTCTTACAGCTGGGACAGCAGTTTTCGGAGGTCAGGTCATGGCGGACCAAGAAGAGACTTTTGCCCTTGAAAACTCTCCTAGTGGTTCGGATTCAAGGGAAGTACATTCCGATAATAAATCAGAGAAACAGAACGGGACCTCAAACAAAACCTCATCATCTCAGACTTACATTCAGCAGGTCAGTATCAGTCAGTCTGCAGGCCTCACTTCTCACCGCTTACACTCACCTGTGGGGGTCACGTTCACTGTAAAGAAAAGATAAATAAATAAATGTATAGTCGTCCGAACTAGTACTATAAATGTAGTTTTGGATGTTAAAATATACGAAATGTTAAACAAACTGTCTGTCATTGGGATGGATTCATTTGACATATTCTACATAGAGAAATTTAACTTTTTTGGTCTGTCTTATACTTGTTGTCTCACTGTGTTGCTCAGAGAAACTGATTTTAGAACATTTATTTGAGGAGTGAAACATCAGAAAAATTTAAAAGCAATTTAGTTTGTATTTTAGACGACATTTTATGATTAAAATGAGACTATACCAATACATTCTGCAGGAAAATACGTTAATCGTCAGGCACTAACTCTGGCCTTATTATACTGTGTATTTTAAATGTGTATGCTAAAGGGCCACTAGGTTTAACACTACAGAATGTCTGAATGTTAAACTACTAACAAGTTACACAATGGTTATATTGTCACTACTACATTATGTATTGTATTATACTTAAATGCACAACAAATGCAGTTTGTGCACGTTTCTTGAAATGCAAAATGTGTATTTTTCTGACATTAATCATTTCCTCGTTGGCAGCTGAAAACAGACGTTTTTGAAAACATGCTATTTGACCAACTCAGAAGGCCTCAAACCATGTTAGACACCTCGGCGTGAAATTGAAGTAGGCCTGTTACAGCAATCCCGTGAGCACTTAGGACAGTAAAATGCTTTATTTTGAAGGGAATGGAGGGAATAAAAGTCTACCTGCACGAGAGGGAACTCTGGGTAAAGTTTGACGAGGTGGGGACGGAGATGATCATCACCAAAGCTGGAAGGTAAGACGACAATATAAAAAAACATGTATCATTATTATGACACACTAACCATGGCAAGAGGGGTTATTGACTGTATCACTGTTTGCTGATAATTCTACCCACCGAAGTATTTTGTATGAATTGTATGTACGCCTGGAATTAACCTCCTATAGCCTATATAGGCCCGGCTGGAATTTTTTCTTGCGTGGGGAGATTGGAAATATACACTGTGAGGAACCACAGAGAAAACACAGAGCATCTGGTGGACGCTTTAGCGCTCTGCGACACCACCATATATTTTAGTCTGGGTGGCCCTGCTGGGGAATTGCAATACTATCGATACTATCAGCCCGAGAGAGAAAATGGACGAAACTGTCCTCCAAATAAATTCCTGCCGAGTCTGATAAATCCAGTCAAATAAACTCATTCGGAGCACATTTTGCCGTTTGCAACACTTTCCCTGTAGTTGTGGGCGCGCGTGTGATTGTACGCAAACACTTGTGCAGCAACATCTGTCTCGCTGTGAGCTTCGCAGTTGCCCTCAGACTGCATCCAGTCAAAATAGCGCTCGTCTGCGTGAGTGTGAACTTGCATATATGTATGATGCCCGCTGGTGTCTGCTCCTGTCAAAGTGCCCGCTGGCTCACATGGGTGTAAATGATGAATATTTATAGTGAAACACAGCTACATTTCATTGTGCTCTCCGGGTCGGGCAGAAGAGAGTTGTTTTCACACAGCTCCATAAAGTCTCCATTATATTCCCGTCAGTCATTTCTCTCGTGTTTTTGGCGTGAAATGATATTACGCAGCAGCTCCCCTTCGTCGCCAGCCCTTCCCTTTGACTCTTGAGACTGCCCAGGCTTACTCACATTATGTGTTTTTCTACAATATGACAGCTACCAAATATCCAGATGATTTACTAAACGGATCTTGCAAAAAAATGCTGGCCCACAGTGAAAAAGTTTTTTATATCGGGCAGGTCCCTCTCAGACCCAACGCCCTGAAAAGAGTCGTTACCTCTCCAAACCAAATGTAGGCATTTCATTGACCTTTATAACCATCTCACGTGAGCTGACTGTTATTATAATTTAGTTTGCAAATTGTACTAATAAAAAAAGTGAAAGTCATAACCTTTATTCTGAAAACACATTTGTTTTCCTTCACATTTTTGTAAAAGTTTGTAATGCATGTTCGTGCTCGCCAAATGTTTGAAAATGTCTGGAAGTGTTTTCCTCTAGAGAGCAGAAATCATGAAAACACAGCACTGTCTATTTTTGAATGCATGTCGCCTTCTTTTTCCACTGTTTGGCAGAAACATCCTTCCATATACTGTAGCGCCATAAACCGTGTTTTGTCCTTTACAGGCGAATGTTCCCCAGCTTCAAAGTGAAGGTCGCAGGATTAAACCCCAAAACTAAATATATTCTCCTGATGGATGTTGTTCCTGCGGACGACCATCGATACAAATTCGCCGACAACAAATGGTATGTAAAATGTAACAGAAAGAAACGAATTTTTGACAACAATAATGGGGGTCGTTCTTTTGGGGCGGTCGCAGCTACTCTCTCTGCAGTTTATTCCAACAGGAAATGTTGTATTGTTGTCCTGATGGATGAGAATCGGAAGTGAACATATTCATTCCCTGACAATTATGAATTGTGTATTTTCGAATGCTTGCCAGAAAATGTTGTCAGCAGGGAGACATTTTTCTGCCGGAGCTGTTGAATGAATGTTGATGACTTTTTTTTTTTTGTGCTGTACCTGCCTATATGTGCACTGCAGCACGGCTGTATTTCACAGTGGGGCATACACATTGTTATTTGTTTAGATTCATGTCGATCTCTCCAACCTTGGTCAGGAATGCCTTGTTTGGGTCAGCGCCTTTCAGTGAGGGGATCCTTATAATCACATGCCAATACTGCCGATAATGACCTGTCCAAACCGTGTCCTGGAACTAAATGCTCCTCTTGATCTAACGATGTTTTAAAACAATGTGTGCCAGCTCTAATGTGACCTCTGACCATCCAGAACTAACTCATCAAAGAATGATATTCCATTATATCCTGGTGCGTTTAAGGCAAGTGCGTAAATGTCCTGGATGTGAAGCAAATTTCAACAGCCTTAGAGGTTATATATAGCAACAATGCCCGACTAATTAGTCTTTTTTTGTTTCGTATTTTTTGTTTTGATTCTATTAAAACTAAATTCGGATATCCTTCGGCATAATTTCAACATTTTGATAATGAAATAATGGCATGACAATGATGGGGAGATTAACATTTTACACTAAAGACCACTTCCACCTACTTTAGCACCTGCATAGTTGAAAGCTGGCATGTGGTTGCAGTCCGAGGTGTTACAGTGTGACTGCGTTGCTTTGATTCAGGTCTGTGACCGGGAAGGCAGAGCCCGCCATGCCCGGCAGGCTCTACGTTCACCCGGACTCTCCTGCCACGGGGGCGCACTGGATGAGGCAGCTCGTCTCCTTCCAGAAGCTGAAACTGACCAACAACCACCTGGACCCGTTCGGACACGTAGGTGCCTATCATACATACTATTTAACCACAGGTCTGTGAACGGTGTAATCTCCCGGTGCTGAGCTGATGAAAGTGCAGGACATGTTTTGTTTTTTTTGCTTGTTGTGTTGCCCAGTGGCACTTCAGCAGGAAGGAGTGTTACTAAAGCGTCCGAGTCGTCTTTTTCTACTCGTCTTTATCACCTTTTACTTTTACATCAGGTGCTGGTTTCCACAGCTGAACTTTGAGTTATTGTTGTTTTCCTTGTTTCATTGAAAAACGTCGCTCTGCGTTTATGAAGATCTGAAGAGTTGAATCTGAAAAAGGACAAAATGTTACTTTAAGAATTCAATTATTATTATTATTACTATCAATACTATTACTATTATTACTACTATTATTACTACTATTATTACTATTATTACTATTACTACTATTACTATAACAATAGTAATAATAATATTATTATTATTGTTATTATTATAGATCATTATTTGAAGTTGAAACTTACACTTTTAAGTTTAGTTTTTAGGTTTAAAGTGTTCAGGTGTTTTTTGTTGAGACTCTTTGCCCATATATTTGAATTATATGTCCACATTAGATTAGATTGTAAAATTAGATTAAAGGTAATTCTCATTGCACATAGACTACAGCAGACAACAACATTCAAATTAAAGTTTAAAGGCCATGACTTGAAGACAATGAAAGATACAACGGCCCCCCTCCCACTTGCTTGTAAAACAGTGATTTACAGGTGCCATTGCAACGCTAAATGTTTTTAGATACACTTTAAAAATCTAACAGACCAAAATGCCAGTCACTCCAGCACCAGGCTATATAAAGTCACTGACGTGAAGTTTTGGTTTTCCTTACTTTCTTGTTCATTTTTCCCACTTTCTTTCTTTAACTTTCTTTCTCAATTTTTTGCTCGTCAAATGTTCATTTTTCAACCACAGAAGAATTTGCTTGTGGAGTTTCTTTGAAACCATATTTGTTACTGTTGCAAAGTTAAAAAAAAAAGACTGTCAGGCAAAGAGATCAATTTTTAAATAACAGACAAACTATTGACTGACAGTCTATATATTTCATAAATAATTCTTCATTGAAAACACTATTAAACCCGGGAGGTTGAGTTAAAAGAACAATACATTAGATTAGCTGCAAGAACAATGTACAACTGTTTGATTACATTTAAAAACTATAAATATATAATTGTATCCTTTTAAAGTAATGCACTGGCATAATGAAAACTATGAGTCTCTGTGATGTTAAGAAATAAACAGGATTTTCTGATTTTGATTCTCAACTGATGCTCCCAACACAGAAAATCATTTCACTTCAGACTCTTTGTTATTGTTGATAACAGATTTGGTTCCAGAGTCCTCTTTACTACTTTTCATTGCCCAGGTTTATTATAGCACCCCCTATATGCATTAAAGTTATAGACCTCCTGGCAGTCATCTTAGAAGGGAGCAGTTGGGCATTTTTTTAGGGAAAGGGAAAGAGGAATGGCACCCCCACCCCCCGCCTCCCTCACCCCCTCCTGTTAGGAACTGTATGGTACCCATTTCCGAACTTAAACTCCTCATTATTCTGCACTCACTGTCTAGCCCCAGGCTTTTGAGATTCTGTCTTGAACAAACATCACTGACTTCATTAACAAATGGGCATGTTGGCGTCAGGTTTTCATAAAATACTAGATGGGCACACTGAGGCCAAGTTAGATGTCTTGTTGTAGAAACGGAAAAGTTACACAATTATCTCTCTTACTAATAGGCCCAGTCATTACGGGGGAAACGCACTTATGAGGTTGGCAAAAGGTACATCAATAGCTATTCTGGTTTGAAGGAGGTTGTTTAAATTGTGTGGAAAAACACGAGAAATTGAATTAGGTTAGAAATTATTAGAAGTGTTAATCTTGATTAGAGTTGTTAAGCTGAACATGTTTCAAATCTGTAGGGAGGAGGCAAAGGTGCATTAATCAAGGCAATCAAGACAATTAAGAGGCAATTCTAAAACATGCAGTCTCATGTTGGATTGACAACGTTTAATTTATTCCAATCACCAGTCCCGCTAAATGCAGATATACACTTATTTACATATAGCTACAGGTACTATCATACTGCACATGTATTTCTACACACACAAGCTACTATCTATCCACATGGCACCTAAAGTGGTTGTTGCCTTGCCAAAGCCCAGCTGGTGAAATGAAATTGGAGCTAGGCTGGAATGTAAGCAGTGTTGTGCATTTTGGGTTAAAGTGCATTTTTGATTGGCTGCAGTGGTTCCTGGCTCACCCTCTTTTGTGGTGGGAGACAGCACCCTGGGATTCATAAATGAAACGCATGGTGGCTGGCCAGAAATATATTCCGTTGGCTTGTTGGTCCAGCTGGTTGAAATATCTTGCAAATGACTTATAATTACTAGCAGTGAGACATGGGACCAAAACATCGCTGAAGTAGAATTGACCAATTTAGGATGGCCAGAAGCAGTCGGTTTTTTTTCCCTCTGTCTGGTAATTAGACACACCTCAGCTGACTGAGCTCACTGTTGTGAAGGAGTCTCATAGGAAACAAGGGAAACCAGAGTGTTTGTATACAGTTCATGGTGTAGCTTTATTTCTTATTCAAATGTTACATATGTCAACTTGTCCCCGAATTTCTTTCAACTAACTTGCAACTGTAAATATATCTATTTCTAAGAAAGGATTACGTTTTTTTAAATGAGGTAATCATATCGTTTTGAGCAGGAGGGTGTTTGTTTTTTGCAGCTTTGTATTTATTGACATGTTGAGGCAGAAACAGTGCTTTATGTGGGCATCACTGCAGTATCTCTTGTTTCGAGGACATATATGTCATGGGTTACATTGACACAAATTGACATTGATATGCGTGTACATTTTTGAAGTATTTTAGATATTGATCATATCTAAGTCTCAAGATAAAGGTCAATTTGTCTGTACAGTTTATTTCATTGACAATTGCAGTCGATGATAATGCATTTTGAATACGGTGTGAAAAATAGTTTTATTTACCATTGAAACTGTTAATAAAACACTACTACAGTTTTGGAGAGTAATGATACAATTTAGAGCTATTAGTGTTTCGGGTTTAAGCCACTTTATTACACCATTACATAAGGAAATGTGTGTTTTTATGCACTACATTTATTTGACAGCTACAGCATATTAATAGTGACTTCAGCAGCGCAAAAAGTAATTAAAATGAGCTTCACCATGACCATCTGCAACATAATAATCCATTGGTAATATACTGTATACAACAATACAACACCCTAAGGGGCCATTCTGCATAAGAAGTACATTTTCTGTTACTTATGTACTTTTACTTAAGTAAAACTTTAAATGCAGTACTTTTACTTGTAATAAAGTATCCTCATAAATGTTGTATATCGGTCTTAAAGCACTGTACTACAGTGCTATCATTTTTTCGATATTTGAATTCCTAAAAATCATTTATTTTTGTCTCAGGTTTCATACCAAGCTGCAGTTTTTGCTTTGATCTCCCTGTCGACTCCTGGAATATTTCTCAGTGTTATTCATCTCCCTCCTCAATTTGCTCCTGCACTCATCTCCCTGTCTTCCCACACATGTTTTGGCCGGGAGGGTGGAGTGTGAGGATCGCACTGTTTATATTTGAATGGCAGTGTGCGATGAGCAATAGATGATGGTGTACAAAGCCTGCTGATCCCAAGGCTCGGGGAAACTCTCTGATGTGGTGGAACTTGAAAGCAAAGGGCAGCGGCTCGAGACCCGAAGTGATCCCTCACTATCATTAAATACTATCATCCAGAGGCGGGGGGAACAGAGATACAGGGACCCAGGCAGGGCAGCGGCTGGGCCAAGGAGACGGGCGTGTGCTGGGGCCCCGGTGGGTGGTCCACAGCTACCCCCCATACCACCACAACCCCCCGTACTAACACACATACTGGACTTTGGGAACCCACATTCAGTGGCCCATGCAATGTCCCAGGGTTAAATGTGCATTGAGATATTTCCATGCAACTTCTAATGTGTCACAGTGGCAGACATTTTAGCTCCTAAAACTGTGCAGTGTGGTGAATGGCATGTTTGCATTGATTGTTGTGGTTTTGTCCAATCTTGGACTCATCTCTGCAGACCTCAAGTAAGCACTGAATGCATGCATGGGAAAATGTTTTGTTTAACATACTTTTTCTTGTTTTGAAAAGGTCTTTTCATGGGACGTTATGGCCTCATTTACAAATCCAATAGTGTGGCTTGATAGCTAGGACATGTTATTTTTTTCATTTGCACAGTGCCATAACTTCACAATGCAGGAATCAATGCAATCCAACACTTGAATATGGAAACCAAAACAGAGCTACAAATACAGCAGGCAGATTTCGTTTCTCTCAGCCTGAGACTCAGTTCTGGTGAAACTATTCTCACCTCAGAGCAGAGTATGCGGCCCTAAAACCCCTTTCCTGCAAATAGTTTTATTTATGGCAGATTGTAAAATTTGCAAACGCTTAGTTTCCATCTGCAAGTCATCCATCCAGTCTTCAACAGCCTGCTTATCCAACCAAAGTGATACAATCAGCCGATATTATCATGCAAAGGGTCAGTAACTTGCATCTGCATGGTGAATTGCAGGCAGTTTCTGCCCATTACAAAAACCTATTGCACCATGAAATGAGATCAAGTTCAGCTCGAAATTGATAATGGACTGTTGTAACGTCTATGTCAGTGTCTATGGTTCACTTGGCTCTGAGAAAGGACTTGGGACTTGTGTCTGTTCAATGCTATAGGATGCACCCACAGGTACTGGAGGTCAGGGCGATCCCTTGTTTCCTCTCATGTTGGCAGTGAAAGGCAGGTACAAAAACAACCTTTAAGATAACAGATAGGAGAAAAGTCCCTTTTTTCAATCATGAAATATAAAGTGGATCTGAAGGAAATAAAACAAAAAACATTAGATTTCCTCGAGGCTGAAGACCATGACTCCCTGGTCTGTCAAAACAATTAGACTTAAGTCCCACGGATGAGAGGGCCTCAAAAGAGAAGTTCAAGGCTCAAGTTCAGCTGTGCGGACCGCGTCTTAATGTCGCCAAGCTAGCCACGGGTAGTAGTCATCACTTAGCATAAACTAGGTTAGTCAGGTTAGAGGGCAACAGGAGAGAGGACATCACTGTCTATCGCTCTCCTGGAACCGGTCATCTACTGACAGTACTTACTAAATGAAATATAGTGAATATTATCCGTAAACATACAGTCATGAGTTTAGAGTTAGAACTTTTGGCTGGGATGGAACTTGTCAGAAACAAGTTCAAACAGGCCATCTACAAAAACAAAATAAGAGTGCAGGTGGCCCAATTTCATTTGAAACATTTATGAAAGCAATAAAACTTGCATTAAAAAAGTTTGACCTTTTAGTCAAACAAGTAATTTGTCCAAAAAAGTTAAGTTGTGCAGTTTTTGACTGAGAAACTTCATCTTAATTGAATCTATTGGGCGTCTGTGAGATTGATTATGTTGCCTTGGCCGAAGTAGCTGCCAAGCCTTTTTCTTGTTTTTTCCCCCTCTAATGTCTGAATTCATCCACAAATTATGCCAATAAAAGTTCTCACTTTTCTGCATTGAATGACTCCTTCCCCTTCTTTTATCTTTGTTATGAAGCTCACCCATATCTGTTCATGCTACCTGTATGTGTTTGCGTTTCCTTTACATGTTATAATGATAAAGTGCTGAAACTGAGCCCTGAAATGTATTGCAACACTGGTAGAATTTTTAGGCTTTGTACCAAATGTAGAAAAAGTGGGAACACATGCGCAGCAAAAACCTTAACCTCAAAAGTAACAAAAATAATGTTTTAATGCCTGCAGCACAAAAAAAGGGATGTAAGGGGAACTTTAAGTTGTTAAGCTTCACGAGCTGCTCCAAAACGTTGCCACTTCAAGCAGCCTCGAAGCAAGTCTAATGTTAGACTCCGTCTCTCCTGCGAGGTTTATTTTTAGAAAGGACGTCTTGCTGTGATGACACGTAATCAATAATCTAACACTAGGCTCCACTTTTTCTTTTTTTAGATCATCCTAAATTCGATGCACAAGTATCAGCCGAGGATCCACATAGTGAAGGCAGATGAAAATAACGGCTTTGGCTCCAAAAACACGGCCTTCTGCACGCACGTCTTCCCCGAGACAGCCTTCATCGCGGTTACGTCCTATCAGAACCATAAGGTAAGTCCTTCAAGGGCAACTATTGGATTTAGTTTTGTGTTTTTATTGCAGTCTGCGACAGAGTAACTAGCGACTTTAAATCCACGGTGTATTTCATGAGGTGATTTAATTATAACAATGTTTTTAACATGAAAAACAAACGAACAGAACGATATATTGTTTATTACAAAATTGGACAAACTGCAGACTTATAAAGTCCAAATTTCCCTTTCACACTACTACTACTACTACTACTATTAATAATAATAATAATAATACATATTATTATAAATGTATTGATTTCAGACATACAAGTGTTCAATTTAGTTTTGCCCATTTTTACGGAATTTTGACGGCAAACTGGATCTGCTGATTGCAGGAGAGAAAATGAAAAGCGCTGTTAAAGTGAAGCCTTGTCACTGTCAGCTGAAAATCTCTGATATCACATCGAGTCACTGACAGACGAGAGAAAACTTCAGACGACGTCTGACCTCAAGAGACTTTTTCCCCCCGAACAGGCTTTGTAGAGTGAGACAAGCTGCAGATAAACAGCGTAAACCTCAAGAGAAACTGCACCGACGCAACAATAATAACAATAATAATAATAAGTTTAGCTCGTTATTTGTGATATATGATGAATAATTGTTCGAATTGCAACCAAGCATATTTGCGAACCTCTTTATGAACACTTTGAAATAGTTTGTGGAAGCTATTTGTTTAAAATTGGATTTGTTTGTTTTGAGTCCATTTTACAGTTACAGAAAAACACAGCGGGTATTAACTTGTTTACTAGATTATCTCTGGGTTATTATCTATATACTACATCTATTTATTCAAATAACCCTTTGCGTGTTGGTGACATTTGGGCAACATAAAGTTTTCAAAAACGTTTACGAAAAACGGATATGTTGGTTTGTAAATTCTTTAAAATAATATAATACATTAAATTATTATATAATATATTGAACATAAGTAATATAATATTTATATTTATATATATATATATATAATACAGCACTAAGGCTACGTAAGCGCGTAAAAGCTGATCATCTGGAAGATTTCCTTTTAATACAGCCATTTAGAAAAAGGCTTTTAATAACGTTCAATTAAGGTTGGATGAATGTGTGACTTCTTGAGGCCAGGCAGCCGCACAGTTGTTTATTATTTAGACTTACTGGAAAGAAGCAGAAATAAAACTCAATATTTACTCTGCAGACATTTCTTGGGGGAAATACTTGGGAACTCAGATATGTGTAAACAGCGTCTGTTTGACATTATTTAACCAGGTCGTCCTGTATGTTCTTAGTTTGGGGAATATGGGAGTGAGGGGCGAAAACTCCCCGCAGCCAATCAGACGTCTCCGCACTTCTGGGAACAGGAAGCGCAAATGAATGACACGCTGTAGAAACCATTCGTTATTTTTCAAACATGTTATTGGGGGCTGAGATCGTAACCCCGGGCTAATTATTGGGGCTTTCCAGACCTGCAGAAAAACAAGCATTTGTGATTTGCAGGCACTTCACCACAACTGTCCAATCAAACAGTCTAACATCTGCCAAAGCAATATGTGCTGCAGGCATGTGTCCACTTCACCTGTTAGACTCTCAGCTAATGAAACTGGCCAAAGTCTCTTGTGTCAAGTCTTTCCTGTCACTAATTAAAACATTTTTTCCAAACTGTGTTTTCTGAAATATGTTTTCTTCAGGAATAAAAAGTGAAAAACGAATGGCCAGCAACTCCATAGCTTATATTTAAGTTATATTTAACGCATTTTATTTTAAGTATTTAAAAGTTATTCTATAGGCTAAAATAGCCAAAAGCATCTGGAAATATGTTCATAGGCCTCCATTATTTTAATGAGCATCTTTGGACTCAGACTAGTAAAACTGTCTTTGAAGCTGTGAATGAATTGTGTCTGATTGTCTTGAGTACTCCCAAATTATTTTTTAACAGTAATCATATTCTTTGCTCTGATTCTTTCCATGCTCTGAGTCCAGTCAGTAGAACTCGCACGTGTTTTGCAAAATAAATTATTTTCTTTTTCTGTAAACTGAACTCTGGCTATCACTTTGGAATGAGTAATTATTTGTCTAGCTGTATTTCTTCTTGGAACGCCCACAGAGGGTAAAAAGAGTGCAACAGGACTCTGAACTTTTTTTACTCCTAACTTTAAAAAAAAAAAAAGATGAAACGAATGTAAATGCTCTGCCAGGTTGCGTGCATTAACAAGAAGCTAGCAAAGTGTCACACAAGAGATTTTACAAGGTTTGGTGAGAGTGTCAGCCAGCGTGCAGACAAACCTCCGGTCTTGTCAGAGAGCTGGAAGCGCACACACAGGCTGCCAACTAATTACCTGCCAGAAACCACTGCTCATGAGAGGGATATCCCTGGATTGTGTTTAACCTCTCTGGGATTAATTTGCTATTTCGGAGTGTTTCTCTGCACATTTGATATTTACAAAGACATTTTTACAAAAACATAAAAGTAGTATGATGAATCGCAGTATTTGCATCTTTCAAGCATGCGCCAACTATCTGTTAAGGCAGAGATCGTTTCTGTGTAACATTATAAATTATGCAATGAAAATATGTCTTATTGAGACGAGATTTATCCAATTGTTTAGTTTAGGATCCCTAAAAGCATCTTAGGTTTCTGGAAATGTGATCTATTATTTCATTCTCCTGGGTAACTTGTGAGTAGTTAAATGCATCCAAGAACACTTCAAAACTCAGCTCTACAAAATCACGTTATGATACTGTCATCATATGAGCCTCACGCTAAAGAGGACTTGTCTCTTGTGAGAGCATAGCGGATACGGAAATGTTGCATTTTCTTGGTTGAAATTGCTCGTTATTTATGCACAAAAATATTGATTCATGTGTTAGTTTTAATTTGGCCCTTTCAACTTGTAGAACAATACTTTAAGATGTTGTAAGTGACACGGACACAACAAATGGCTTTCATTGTCCAATATGTTACCAAGTGTTATTGCTTTTTTTTAGATAACCCAGTTGAAGATTGAGAACAATCCGTTTGCAAAAGGCTTTCGTGGAAGTGATGACATGGAGTTACACCGGATGTCCAGAATGCAAAGGTGACTATATAAAACATTATAAAGTATGATATGTATAATGTATTTCTTTAATTGATCCTGGGCTCTGATACCTGGAAACTCTGACAAAAAAACTCCAAACGATGTTTAATGAGTATGTTTCAAGGATTACTGAAATCTTTGTCACACTGTCACTTAACAAGCCCAACTTGACAGTAATCCGTCAAACACCCAAATGTAAGCCAGATATGAGTGTTATTTTCAGTGAGTGTTATTTTCAGTGACGTAAGTGTAGTTCTTGATCCTCGGCCAGTTTTGATGCTGAAGACTTTTATGGCTGATCTGGCAGAACCTCTGAAACACGACTGCAACATCTCCCTTCCAGACAGCTCTTTCTACCAGGATGTTCCAACTGCTTGTGTGTGTGTGTGTGTGTGTGTGTGTGTCTGTGTGTGTGTGTGTGTGTGTGTGTATGTGTGTTGAACTGGTTCTATGGCTTGGTCCTGCAGCCAAGGCAATGCACAACCACATTGCTCTCTCACTATGATTCAGTCCAGATGAGGGATGGAGCAAGCGTCCGCACTGCGTGGAAAACACATTTTCAAAGGAGAATATCTGGTTTTGAAACTCACGGCCCTCGCCTCCCCCCTTTCGGGCAGCCGATACAAACGTGTGGATTCAAGTAATCCCAAATCATGGGGGGGGGGACTGGAAAAGCTGTTTGGCTTTCCACAAGGTGCTAAAATCCAGCCTTTTTGCCATGACCTTTATTCTTAGCCACAGAATCAAGGTCTTTGTAAGCAAGCATTTCAGATTAATGTCACGGTTTATGCTGTGGAGAAAAATCCCTGGATATCCGGGAAGAGATTTCTGCCCTTTCAAGTGCTTTTTAAAAAATAACACGCTTGATTGTGTCAGACACACGTTAAGTTACTTTAAGTAGCTGCATGCCATGATTTAATACGACGTTTTGAGTGAAATCCATTTCACCTATCAAAACTCTCAAATGTATCGAGCATGGTGAGAGTCCAAACCACGCTATCAATCTTACATGCCATTGTCCAATCCTGCCGGGTACAGTAAGCTACGCACGTCTGCTCTTGGTTACAATGTTGAAGGGAGGGCTTATTGCAAAACCAGTTCACTGTTTCAACTGAGGAGATCCCTGGAATCAAAGAACCCAAAGCAGCAAAAATGATCTATTGATGGATCCTGTGGATTAATAGGAGTGAAATACATGCTGGCGCTTTCACTGGGAAGTGTTTCCCTCTCTCTCTGTGGGTGTCCTAAGTGGGTGTGATTCACTGATGGGGAATGTTGTTGGTCCTCTTTGAAGCACGATGTATCGAACTGTACAGAAATAAACTATTTATTTGTTGTTGTTTTTTAACAAACTGTTTTACGGCAATGTTTCAGAGTCAACAGAATTACTAACAAATGTATTTGTGTGGTTCTTCATGTGTGTCTGCACATAGTACCAAGGAGTATCCAGTAGTGCCTCGCAGTACGGTGCGCCAGAGAGTGGGCTCCAGCCAGAGCCCGTTCAGTGGGGAGGTCCAGGGCATGGCCACCCCGAGCGCACTGAGCTCCCAGTACTCCCAGTGTGAGAACGGGGTCACAAGCACCTCACAGGACGTGCTGCCTCAGTCGGGCTCCTACCCCCTGCCACATGAGCAGGGCCAGGACTACCACTGCATCAAGAGGAAAGGTAGGAAACACATATAGGAGACTCTAGTTCTATTGCAGTAGTAGCTGCCTTGGCAAGCTGAGCCTTATTAATTAATTGGGTAAATACTCTCAGGCCATAAACCACCAGCATATACAATAAAGGATGTAAAAGGGACAATAATCATCAAAATATATCAAATATTGTGTGTTTATTTACAAAGAAAGTTTTACATGATTATCATTAAATTAATAGCAGAATAGTAATTATTTGTTTTAAAGAGTTAAAGACAATATTTCATCATTCCAAAAAAGTTTGTGAGCTGATAATGGAGTAACTGCACAATTGTATTTACTTCATACAACTTAAAGAAAACCCTTGAGTAACACTGTTCTGTAACTCTGTAATTCTACCTGTAGTGGAGGATGACTGCCACTCAGGTGAGCAGAGCTATAAGAAAGCCTATCTGGAGAGCTCGTCCAGTGAGGAGGACCATTACTACCGTCCGGTTGGCTATGCCCAGAGCCTCGGCCTGGCCGGCGGGCCCTACCGCAGTGAATCCAGCCAGCGGCAGGCCTGTATGTACGCCAGTGCCTCGCAGGGTGCTGAGCCAGTTCCTAGTTTGGAGGACATCAGCTGCAACACTTGGGCTAGCGTTTCACCCTATGGAAGTTGCTCCGTCACCACCATGCAGCCAATGGACCGGCTGCCCTACCAGCACTTCTCTGCTCACTTCACCTCAGGGTCTCTGGTGTCCAGACTTGGCGGGGTCGGGGGCCACGCCTCTCCGCAGCTGGGCGATGGCCACCACGCTGCCATGTACCAGAGCTCCATGACCCACCAGTCTCTGGGCCGCCAGTGCAGTCCTGGGGCTGGGATCCAGTCGCCAGCAGCTGGCCTCCAGGGAAACGAGTACCTCTATACACACGGCATACCACGTACACTGTCGCCACACCAGTACCACACAGTACATAGCGTGAGCATCATGCCAGAGTGGAACGAGAACAGCTAGAGCTTCTTTTTTTTTCACACTCAACAGATAAAAATATTAAAATGAAAAACAAAAAGGACCAAAACAAGGCAGGGTTTAGATGAATTTATATTTATATTTTTAGAGGATGTGTTGCTGATCATCCTATTGAGATCAGTGTTGGTTTACTGACAGCAGTGGATATTGGTAAGATTTTGTTAAATTAGGAAAGCAAGCATCTTATCACTTAACTTGTGACAGCATCTGCACTTATAAGCAAATAACACACACATGAACAAAGAGGAGACGGACCAGAACATGTGCAAAGACTGCTCAAGTGCAGAGAAAGCGAACACAGTGGAAATTCAGACGCTGCCCCGAAGAACACAGAAAAAGGTTCAGTTGCTTTGCCAGCGGTCCCCAAGTTCATGGTGTTCTTGTGCGATGGTGTTTTTTGGATGTCAAAGTAAAAAAATTATTATTTTGTATTCATGTCCAGTTTTTGTGTAGAAAAAAGATTTTTGTCTTCTTTGTCACATTATCCAGAGTTCTCATTTTCTTTCCTTTTTTTGTAGTTAACCTACTTTATAGTCAAATTGCAATAAGTTCAGAATGAATGAGCAGATGGGAGCTTTTGTTGTGGCTCTTGGGAGAATTAGCTTGCTCTTAAATCAGTCCTGTAGCTGGGTACATTTAATCTTAATGCCATTATGAGAAACAAGACAGTAAAGCTCACAAGTAGGACAGAACTTAAAATGAATAGTTTATTCATGCACGGACATTTGGAGCACACACCCTCAGTGTTCAAACTGGAAACAGTGTTACAACAAAGCAGTGGTGAGCTCAGAGGAAGCACAACAATGTAGCAACAATGACATTTCGGTGACATTAAAGAATACAGTAACAACCTGAACCATATTTCCCCTGTTTTTGCCATCACATCCAAAATTGAATCAATTGAAATGTAATCCACTCAATCTGTGAAAACATCACTCAAACCCTGAGGAACTGATTTTCTTTTCACACCGTTACTTGACCTGCCTACATCCAGCTCTCCTATTCACTGTCAGATATTCATACTAACACAATGACGCCCATTTACAGATTTTCGGTTGATTTGAGATTGATACAGATTCACAACAAGCAACAAAAGAATATATAATACAACACCAAACATATTGTCTTGATCTTCTAGTATGGAAGAATTTTAGACTTCAAGTCATCATATGTCCAGAAAAAACAAATGAATGTGAAGATTTTCTCTGTGTCTGTAAGGCGATGGGTTGCTAACACATTACTACGTCATAAAGGTGATAATATGTCAGGGTTGAGCAGTTGTTGCCTTGTTGTGGTGTTCTTCTGACTTCAAGTGGCCAAAACAATAAATATGAATGCAGCTTTAAGGGGTTGCAATTATTGGATCACATCTACATGAAGACTAGTATTTGGAATGAGACTGTCATTAAGTTGAAAAAGCCATGTGTTGATCAGTGTTTAAGTTTGAGATAGTGTTGAGAAATTCAGATGAGAATACCAGATTTTTGAACATTGAACCCAGATTTAAAACATGTTTTTGAAAAAATTAGCAAACACTTTAAACTGTTACTTTGATTTGGGTTAACATCATAAATACTGCAATTCCAAAAACATGCTCCGTTTTAACAAATTGCCACAGTTGCCGAAACACATTTCAGATTTTATTTACAGCTTTCGGTACATTGAGCAGTACAGTACCGCGAGAATGGAGGAACAACTGACATTAGTTATAATCCATCGTGTAGTGCAGAGGGCTCATGATGTGCCATCAAAAAACAACTTGCAAAATTAGAGAACTGCTATTTTATTTTTTTGTTCCAAATTCTACAAAAAAAGCTTAACTACACTAAACAAATCATAAGATAAGGCAATCATATGAAGTGGAACTATGGCACCATGCAAATATTTTAACATTTTCAAGAAAATCTGGTCTGAAAAAAAAGTCAGTGTACAGCCATAAAGTGTTTAAAATGTTACCCCGCTGCCCATTCTGACCCCATCCCGCTTTGTGATGTTGACACACCGGTATATTGGTTGGCAAGAATACATTAATGGATGCTAACATGCTACCTGGCATTCAAAGATGGCACTTCCACCACAGTCTGTGTTGTGCATACATGTAGCTTGTTACATCGGAAGAAGTCTAAATCTAAATATTAGTAATTATTTGAATTGTTATTATTTGGACCATCCATTGGGGAAATAGGTGTGCCAAACTACAGCAGTGCAGTATTTACTGTAATTTCAGATAGTAAATATTTTTTGCCCTCTTTTCTTGACATACGGTAACAACCCTGCAAAGTTTGAAGGAGATTTCTTATCTTTTTGTATAAGCTCTACTTGTATGTTTCATGCAGTCTCATGCTTTACTCAGTGAACGTGTATGCTCCCAAATATTTTGTATTAATCCCCAAAATGGCACTTCTCTGACAATCAAGCTAAATCGACACTACCACACAGATTGTAAATTTGAAAACGTCAACAAAATTTACTTGATACACATTGTGAAGCAGTTTCACCATACACATGAGTGTATGTTAGAGGTATGTTTTACATGTGGACAAAGGCAACTTTTTAAATGTGTATAGTTGATAGAATACTATTTGTCAATAGTATTTATTTTTCAACTATGTAACTTAGCTTGCTCCTGCATGTGTCAAAGATAGATGGTCCCATTTCTTTTTTTATAGCCTGTTTTTTTTATGATTGTTTATAGAATTTTCTAATCATACGTAAATAGAAATCAGGAGATTACTATACAGCTGTCAAAAAGCTATCAAAATAAGATTGAAACACATGGATAACTTTGTAAATACACATGTACATAACAGAATACCTGCAATAAATTTAAAAAAAAAAAATTAAGTGGTGTTCTTTTGTCTGTTCGTGCTAAATTTGGTTTTCTATTTTTCCCACAAGTGAAATGAACTACTTTGGCTGACTTCACCTCCTCTCTTATGTCGGCATGTATTGCTGAGTTTGACTGACTCTGCTGTTTGCCTTGCTGCATCTGTCAGGGCGGGACAAATCACATCTTTATCTTTGTTGTTCTCATCTGGAATCTGGGGATCTCACAACCTGAGCAGAGGTCTACTCAGAAAGTCTAAAAACACCTGAGTGGGTGTGCAGGGCATTTAAACTGTACTGGAATTTGTGTCTGTGAAGCAAACATTTTTCCTGGGACCCGTGCAGGACACGAGTTATAGCATCAGATAAATGCAGTAGTTGGCGGCAAGCAATTACGCTTCAATGTTCCGAGCATCCCTTAACCCTGTAGATAATCCAAGGGATTACATGTCTGCTGTCTGGACAAAGTTGGTTGCTAGTTCAAGCTTTTTCACTCAGTTGCATACAAAACTAGGCCTAAACAAGCACTGTTTGTAAGGTTAATAGCTCTGTAGCCAACTATTTGTGACAGTTATCACATCATGACTGTGGCTTTCGTGGTCTTTTAATAAGCTTTTAACAAGAAAGTAACATACGGCTGAGTGGACAAGGGCGCTCTCCGTCACCAGTGAGGGGAACACTTCTGCTAAAAGCTACTGAGTAGGTAAGTGACAATGATAATTCAGTAGAGTGAGTTTAGGTTAAAGACTCTGAATAAAGATTTGTTCATACATTTACTGAACACCTCCACTGGCCACAAGGGCAACACGCTAAAATAACCAAACCCACAAAGAGCAGCAGTTTTCTGCCTAAAGGTGCAGTCACACAAGATTTTGCCAGCTGAACTGTGGCGTGTGGCAAAAACCAAGCAGGACAGGAAATAGCATTGATAGTGCTGTATGCATAAAACAGCAGGGGCTACTATGACGGGCAAACAACTGCAGCCTACAAAATTAGAAATGTAACACTTTATCAAATTCTTAATGTTCATTTACCTCAATCAGTGTCCTGTCTCCCTGAAGCCAAGCTGTATCCCTCTTTTTTTGCTGCTTGTGTTATTTTGATGTGCATTTATAAATGTTTTAGCAAGAGAAGCTTCTATTTACTCTGTACTGTGCCATTTACTCCCCCTGCCTGTTTGTTCATGGTATTGTACACCATTTCATTCAGTGAACAGTATTATTGAAAAGGGAAAAAAAAGCTCTGAGAGCTACAATCAAGCTAACTGGACAAAAAGTTCATTAAAAAGTATATTTGTACCATCAACTCGGGTCTCAAAGCCGTTTTAAACCATCCCTCTTTTGTAGAGCAGTTTAAAGACATTTTAAATCCTCGCGAAACATTTGTACATATTTAATTTACCCCAGCGAGAGCAAATCTAGCGATTCCATTGTGATTTTACGGTGCAAATTTACCACAAAGTTGACAGGCCTGAACAATAGTATTCTGTACAACATCATCAATCAAAACTGCATGAAATGTTTCATAGTATCGTTTCTTGCAATTTCACTCACACACAATTGAAATGTTCACGGTAAATTAGAAAATGACAAACCTTGCACTGTCCATCCCCCCTCCCCCAACCCTTGACCCTCGCAGTCTCTTGGTTTCTCTCTTATTTATCTTTTACTGTCTCTATCCATCCCTCTACCTCTTCATCTCCTTTACTCCCTGTGATCCTGTTCCCAATCCTTCTAACCACCCCTCAATTCTCCCCACCACCCAATGGCCAAACACAGTGACCTAGACTCCCAGCCTCCTTTGATGTGAGTGATGTGACCCCTGCGCTCCAGATGCCCCAACACCGCCAGTCTTATCCTCTCCGAGAGCCGGCACAGCCCACAGAGAGGGCCAGTCATTAACCCTGCACAACCTGAGCCTCCCTTCCACTGCTTAAACACATGATGTATCACAACACACCCCCCCCCCCCCCC